ATTACGGACAGATTAGAGTAAAGCAAGGTCGGTTTTTGGAAGGAAATAGCTGAGAGACGAATGGAGAAAAAAGTGAAAAGAGAGAGATAAATGATGAAATGGGATGAACACATCGATTCGATCGACAGGTAAGAGTTAAGGAATTAAATTCATTCATAAGAACGAGGAATTGTTATGACACAAATAAACTGTGTAATACGTAATTTCATTCACTGTTAAATAATCTTAAAGACTCGTTATTAGTTTATGTAATTGCGTTTTATCCTGACACAACTAGAACTTACAATTCTTTCACATCCAGGATTTTCGTCGTGTATACACAATAAGGCTTAACGACAGACTGCTTCTCTCGTCGTTTCGCAATCGAGCCTTTTTCTCAAAGACTTTCTTTATTAAAACTTTTTAAAATTCAACACATCGAGGCCTTCACTTTCCATTCTCTTAATTGAGCGTTTGATTAATGATCGATCGAGCAATCGGTCGAGCAATGATTAACGGTTGTCAGTGGCGATGACAATAACAGCTACGATAATGACAATAATAACGCATAATGAACGCGTGGCTTTTTACCGGCTTTACTGGCTCTAATCATACAGATGCATGTTGCGATATTATCGTGGAGAAACGGCATCTCGTCGCTCCGGCGAGGAAAAAGAAGCGTTTAAAAGCCGTGGAAATGATTAAAAGTCCAGGTCGAGAAGCTCTCGTGCGCTTAAGCGCAGCCGGTCGTGGCACGTGAGCGGTGCTCCGCACGCACGCATGCGAGCACGTGCGTGAGCGCGATGATTTACACGGTACGCGGATTTAGAACGTAACCCGCCGGTTGTTCCTCGTGCGTGCGTGCGTGCGTGCGTGCGTGCGTGCGTGCGTACACCACGAAACACGTTCGTGCACAAAACATTTTAAGCGGGCGTTAAAAATAACGTTAGCCCACGAGGTAAAAAAGCTCATTATGTAATGCATGCTATATTAAGTAACACATTATCGAACTCTCTTCACTTTGAAATGCAGATCTCGAGCTAAATATTCCGCCGCCTTCGATGGAAATTATGAGTCTCGTATATCCTTCGGGGATTCTTAATTCCAAGTTAAGAGATCCACGCGATAATTTTAAACCCGAAAAATTGAGCGTTTTTACGCTGGAAAGAAAATAACTTCGGATTATTATGTTCGAGCCTTGAAGATACGATTACTTTCGAATAGGTATTATTCCAATAGGTAGGTAGGTATTATTCCACTTGATGTCAAATCAAATTGATGTGAAATCACATTCAAACGGGATATTCAC